AGCCACAGGTCTACCGGATCGTGAACTAACGTTCCCCGGAGCACCATCGTGTGTTTTTGCAACTCCCATGGAAACAACATTTCCAACGTTGCTGCCATCAACTGGCATCACGAAATGTGCAACATCGTTGCCGTTCCGACCATTTGAATGTGCACCACGAGCAACACTCACGGATCCAACACTTTTAGAATCCAACGATTTGTTCATTATCAAAAAGAAATAAGGTTTTAAGATTGTTGGAGATAATGAACCACAATCGATTTAATATCCATAAAATAATATTTATATATATACACACGAAATATATATATAAAATATTATTGGATATATGTATCCGAAATATATATATATATATACACACAAATATATATAAAACGGACCCAACGGTTATATATACATGTATATCTACGAAAAAGATATACCAATATATATCAACCAAAAAGAAAATATAATCCTTAGATTATAATTCCAAAACAACAAGAAAGAACGGATTTTTGCTTAGAGCATAATCCAAAACAAGAAAGAAGAAGAAAGAAAGAAATGTACGAGTTAGGCAAAGTGCCTGTCTTTCCTTAAAACCTTATTTGCCACCTCCCAAAAGTGCTAGGAGCGTTGTGGCCTAGGTTTCCCAGGATAAAACGTACAACGGTTCGACGTTTGAGCACCCAAACGAACGAACCCGGCGAACTAGAGCACGGGCAAAACACAACTTCAAGAATGGAGTAGAAGCAGAAGTATTTTGAGGCTTGAAAAAATATTTTTCTTGTGTGTTCTTGTTATTTTTTCCTTAGAAAAATTCTGCTGCACTCTACCCCTTCTTATATAGGGAGTGAGGAGTGAATAGCCTTTATTATGGCATTTAGAGGCATCCCTTCAACTCTTGTAACATCAACCATTAACATGGGTGTTAATTCAAAAATTAAAATTAAAATTAATTCAAAATTAATTCCATAACAGCTGAATTAAATCCCAACAGTCACAAAAAGAGTTTTCGGTTCGTGTATACTGCACTGTTTCGGCCAGTTGCAATTTGCAAATTGCAAATTGCAAGGTGGCCGAAACTAACATTGAAACTAGCAGTTTCAATAGTTTCGGCCACTTGGCCGAAACTAAGGAATTTCCATAGTTTTTTCCGTGGCGTTGTCAGAAAATGAACACCGAAGTGTTTTGGGATTTGATTTGCACCCCCTGCGCTCGAGAGAGAGAGAGCCTCTATGTTATACAATTCAATAAGCTTAACAAGAGCTCATGTATAAATAGTGGGGCAAATCCTCTTCCCAAACCAATGTGGGAAAAAAGCTCACTTTTTCCCTTCATTTTCCAACTCAAATGGGTCTACTTTGAGAATCAATATCTCATTCACCCATTATCCGTTTTGAGCGTACAATATATCAATCTCTTCGTCTCACTACGAAGAACCCGAATCCACTTTGACCCGACCCAAAACGGAGGTGGACCCTACTGATAATTGTACCACAAAATAGCCACTTAATATACCATTTTATGCCATTTCAAGCTATTTTTTCCAACATTCTCATCATGCAAATTAGGATTTGCAACCATGACAGCGTCAGAGAATTTATGATGCAGATTTGAGTTCTACAATTTTTTGGTTTCAGGCAATTGCTTGTTAATCTTTGCAGTTGTGGGCAAGAAGCAATTGCTTATCATATCACATGGCAGCAATAATTCGCATACTCGGCACCAAATCTCACACTGTTGTGGTTGTGGTTGCTAATAAATACTGTAAATTATTTACATGGCTCTTAGTTCTGAAAATTGTGAGATTGTGTTTATTCTTTTTGCTCTGTTAAAATTAACGTTAGAATTGGAATTAGTACAATAGAGAAATGAAATAACGCTGAGTTTGAATTAGAAAATTTTACGTTACTCTGATTAAGAGCAAGCCTCGAGTTTGGGAAGAAGGCCTCGCCAGGCTTCTGCAACACTGTTTGCTAGATGCGCTTGTCCCTTTGCAAATTCGTGTAAAGCAACACCAATATCCAGTGTTTTTTGCTCTTGGAACTGGACAATCTCTTCATTCATCAAACGGGCTATTGTCTTGAATCTTTCACCTGCTTCTTCCCCCTCAACCTTCAACTGTTTCATACAAATCATATGATATGGTGTCAAGCAAAGCAGGGGGATGATATCAAAACAAAAAATTTGTAGGCAAGTACCACTTCATATTCACGCTCAGCCTCGGCTAACTTATCAGACCGCATTAGCCTGAGTTTGTTTCTGGAACACAACACAAGGGCTCAATTACGAAACAACAATACCCAAGTAAGAATTAGCTGTCAATTCAAATCGCGATGAAAATAAATTTCAGTTCACCAAATCATACATATCTATCTCCTTGAACTTGATTGTTTCAGCCATTTCACACTGATGTTTGAAAGCATTTGCTCTTTCTGCCATTGTGGCCTGTAAAAAAAATAAAATAAAACTCAGTATTTGACTATAAGAAAATAAATCATTATTTGTCAACATTTGAGATAATATAAATGTCATTACCATCTTCATGTACTTCACTCTTATTTTATTATAATTAAACCATATACTTATTGTCAAGCACAATGAACGAAATGTTGCCAATTATAAGTTAGTTGTTCAAGAACCTTCCCTAGAAAAGTTCCCAACTCACCTTAATCGACTGTACTGCTCGAACATAATCCTTCAATGGCTCTTCAAAATTCATTAGAAGGTTATGTGCCTGGGTGAGAGAACATAACCAGCATTTTCAATTTAAGTAAAAAGATCCAACTTAACGGATTCAAGGAAAAAGATACAACTTAACAAATAGTCTTCCAATCCATACTACCTCTTTCTGTAGCTTAATTGATTGCAGCTCACATTTTGCACCGAGATCAGAAAATGCCTTCCCAAGGGAATTTCCTTCAGAAGTTCCTAGGAGTTTGACTGCCTTTCCAAAATCTGACAAAGACTGTCCTAACTCTGTGGTAAAATATGTTTCATATAAAGAGAACAAGCAACATAAATTTTCATCATTATACAATTAAGACTAATGCATTTAGAAGGAGAGTCTGAGATGCCACCTAGGTAGTTAATCCTAAGGAGATCGCCCCCCCCCCCCCCCCCCCCCCCCCCCAAACCCCAGATGGAAAGGGAAGAAATGTTCTGTCAAAGTTGTTTTACTTTCTATTTTGCTTCCAAGTTTCCAACTGCAACCAAGAGGAAGCTATTCTACCTTTTACGAAGACAATGTAAATTGTGCTCTCATTGACAATATAAGATCATCGAATGAGTATGCTGTATGCATAATAAGCAGCATCTCTAACACCACTATTTAGTACCTCTATGTCTCTTAACAAGACGATATGAATGTTTTTGAGCTTCAGCTAGATGATCTTCAAGCTCAAATATATAGTGCTTCAACTTCTCATATTCAGGATTTGATTCTTCAACTGGCTTTTCCTTTCCAAGAACAACATCACTCACTTTTGATTGTACATCCTGCCAACCAATTAATAGTGTCTCATTAGTTAAATATGACGACGATAAGAATGCTCCAAGGAACTTGAGGCTTTGCGAACCAGATAAATGCTTACAAAAATTAAGAGCACAACAAAGCTTGGCATGCATAGAATAATAATAATAATAATAATAATAACAACAACAACAACAACATAGTATATTAAACTACCAAGAAAATCTAACTAATATTCTATTGCATGCATCCACCAAGATGTTAAGGTTAATTTTAGCTAGTGGCATCACGTTGTTCATGTGATCATGTGCCTTGGTGTAATAGGAGGAGCAAAGTCAAATTGCCTCAAACTAAGTTAAGTGATGGAGAAGATCAAGCAAAGGTTGAGTAAGACATTATTTCTAGACATCCAACATGTTTTATTAGGTTGACTGCATCCTTTCTTATAACAATTTTTTACTGAGAAATAGTAAAATCTACTTTTACAAACTAATCTATTACCTTAAAAATTTGCATTAGATCAGATGGCTTTTTCTTGAAAATACTAGTCTCTTGGGCCCTGGCTCTTTCCATTGTCTGCAAATGAGGTAAAATCAGATGGCAGATAAATTCCCAAGGAAAATTATCATTAAAAACACCATAAAACAGACCTGGTAATGAAACAGTATCAGATCCATAGGCAGCATTATTGATATTTATTGACAAGGAAAATTTTCAGAGCAAGACCCATTTTATTTTAAAATTCAAAGTGATTATCTATTTTCTTTGAGGACCCTAAAAGGCTTAAAGCACTAAGATATTAAGCTGCAAAGTGTTTGCTATGATCTCAAGAAAATATACTTTTCACTTTTTTTCTTTTTTTAATTCCTAGAAGGTTGAATTTGGTCTTTGGTCTACTGACCAAGTTATCATTCATCTATTATTAGGTAATGAGTTTGAGTCCTAGAAATAACCCTTTTGAAAGGATAGCTAAGGTTGAATACACCTTTAGTATTAAGTTCAAAGAAAATATACTTCAAGTTCAATGTATGATACACAATGAAAACCTCATTAAAGACACAACATGGCCAAATGCCCTGGATAAAATTTTATAATTGAAGAATAGAACCAAGATGTTTTCCTATTCAAGCTACCAAAAATTAAAGATTTTACCTGTTCATCTGCCTCCAAAAATATTCTTAAATCCTCACTTTTTTGAAGTTCATGATGTGAAGCTATGCGGTTAATGAAAACATCCAGAGCTCGACATCGCATTTCAATGAATTCTGCACTAAATCTGAACTTCTCTGCAAACAATACAGCGTTAGGCACACCTTAATATTCAATGAGAGCACCTTGAGGCCAGTGGAAAAGGGAGGTTTTGGGGATTATTACCTACAGTGCTCTTCTCTGGAAGAGGAGGAATAAATATTCCCTTATACTTCTCAAAAAGGTGATCGTGCAACCAAACAAAATCACTATAGCGCCGAATAACAATCTTTTCTTGCCCTTGGAAGTCAGGTAAATTAGTCTGACAACACAAATTTCTACTTATGAGTCACATTTTGTACATGCATACTTTTGTATGCATGCATATACAACAGGAAAATAAACAAAAGAAAACAAAAATGAGTGCTTTATGTTAAAAATGAAGAGACAAATACGGTTTTTGAGTTTTTTTTTTTTTAATATGATAAGTAAATAGTGTAGTCAAGATTGAAAAGAAACATCTTGAGAATCAATGACAAGGGAAGCTATGTGGCATATCCATATATTAATAATATGATGATTAACAATAATTTTTGGGTGCTACGAAAATTTAATAAGGAACCTTTCTAATTTCTAATGATGTACTTAACTAAAATTCTTTAATTTCCCTATCTCTAATCAACTGCCAAAAGGAGAATAATAGAATATGCAAAGCCATGCATGTAAAATGGCTAAATTTTAAGTGAAAGAAATAACGACTATTGCATACAAGATGTGTAGACAAGTAGCATTGGCATATTTCTTTTCACATTTTCAACTTCATTTTTTCCCTTTATGGTTCGGTGGGGATGTTTAGTTTGCCACAAAATTTCAACAAACCTATTTATATCACATAAGAAGCTTTTAACATACCTATTGTACTAACATGTCTACTATAATTAAATAAAGCATTTGTGTATTGTTACATCAAGAATCAATTTTGTAGACCATTAGCACAAGTAATTCCACACTAAAAGAGGGAAGGGAACCAGTCAATTTATAGACCATTTTCAAGGGAGTTACAAAAGTCATCATGAAATTTAGCACAAGTAATTTCAACAGTAGTTTAACTCGCAAGATAATTGTGGATTTGTACTAAAGCTTTTAACATACCTATTGCACTAACAGGTCTACTATAATTAAATAAAGCATTTGTGTACTGTCATATAAAAAATCAATTTTGTAGACCATTAGCACAGATAATTCGAACACTAAAAAGAGAGAAGGAAACCAGACAACCAGTTGGTTTATAGACCATTTTCAAGTGAGTTACAAACGTCATCATTAAATTTAGCACAAGTAATTTCAAAGTAGTTTAACTTGCACGACAACTGTGAATTTGTGGTTTAAAACTTAACATTTCTAATTATACATCATTTTTAAAAAATCATTTTAAGCTCAAAATGACATGTAGAAAATGTAAGAGCACCCTAACAATCCAAAAATCCAGAACCAAAAAAGGTTTCATTACCACAATTCGGTCACTCCCATTTTTACCAATCCGATCCGTATTATTGAGTGATTGAAAAGAATGACACAATTACACATGCAGGTAGAAAAATATCAAAGCATAATACAAATTACCGGAAAAAAAAAATATGTAAAGGATCAAAGGAAATGATGACCTTGGTGGTGACTTTGTAGGAGATATAAGCTTGGACCCCATTGCCCATTTTAGCTGGGTCGGTCACTGATATTGAAAGATAAGGCGTCATTTGTGATGCCTGTGGGGATCTAGGGCTTTGAAATGACTCAGATCCGCTTCTCTCCTGATGTTCCGCATTCAAACACCAACCATTTCAATAATAAAGAAAAAAACTGTTAGCTTTACCAACTCAATCAGGATATATAAACAAGTGAGAAGAAGATGATGATGGAAAAATCGTAATTATTGTAGAGATCATGGCAGCTTGGCGATTAAAGGTCGGAAAGAAGATTAACAGAGAGCTGATAGAACAGGGGCGGTGGAGAGAGATACGTGCTTGCTAAATCTCACAAGTGGGGCGAAATCTAACTGATGTAGTAGCGCGCAGTTTCTTTTTTCCGGTAATAACCTGACCCGGAGACCCTTCACAAATAAAGCAATCATTATCCATGCAATATTTTTTTCGCTTTTAAAAATAAATCTCACTACCACATAATAAAATTTAAAAATTTTTAATAAATTTTTACATGCAATGCTCTTTCATTTTACAAATAGTCTCACTTTCATATTATATTATAAATATAATAATAAAGCAACAGAAAACTAACAAATAAAAATAAAAAAAATAAGGACAAAAGGTGATTGAATGTCTTGTAAGCTTCTTGGAGAGTCCGATCAACTCCTTGAGATGATCTAAGCAAGAGATCTAAGTTAGATCACTTGGGGCACACTTCCATGGCATTTCCTAATTCAATATCCGGGAGGATGCAACTAGGAATGAAGTGTAGGCAAGATGTTCGAACAAATGACTAATAGGTACTTAGTCACCTAAAAGTGTTCTAAGCTTAGAGGAATCCTAGTATACCGGGAGGTGAACGGACTTAGCATATCTTCACACAATTATACTCTTGCGATGTCCTAACCTATGTTAATGATCCTACATGCATTATGAAGTAGATGAACAATCCAAATCTCTGTTTTACATATTTGCTTGTTTTCTTGGTTTCTTTGCTTTCTATGCTTACATCAATGTTTCCATACCACTCTTATCTTGCACCTAGTTTACTCTTGTTGATTCATCATGACACGTGATTGTCTTGCACTTAGCTTACTCTGATTTGCCATCCTTAAGCTCGACACTCGGGGATTCCATCCTCGTTTACACTTCCCATCCTATCCCATCCCACGTATATTATAGCTTTATTGGCGCCGTTGTCGGGGATGGCAATAGGTGCTAAGTAGAGTATGTTTACTTTGACAATCTAGGAGTGTGTTGATAAGAGTACTAGGTTGCCCATTCATCCCACCGAGACTAGTAAGATCGAAAAGTTTGTATCCGGGTTAAATTTTAAAGCAAGGAAGGCTTTGACTGTACTCAAGTTATGGACTCTCAGCGAGGCTTATATCTGTGCTGCTAATCTTTATCGTGTTTAGATGATCCAAAAGGGAGTCCATGAAAGTCGCAAGAGGAAGAACGAAGAGAGTGGTGCATTTGTCACCAAGAGGCCAAGTCTTGCCTATGCCGAGCCAGTGTGGAGCTTTCAAGGGAACGACTTCAAGGGTGGAAGAACTTACTAGCAAGCTCAAGGATCAATTGGGAGAAGCAACGAGTCTAGAGAAAGATATTTCTATTGCCAACGATGTGGTAAGGATCACCCAGGAGTAAATTGCCATGGGCATGCGGTGTAGTGCTCTACTTGCAGTAGAAAGGGGCACATGCGGTGTAGTGCTCTACTTGCAGTAGAAAGGGGCACATGGCCTTCGAGTGTTGGTTCAGGAACAGGGACTCTTTCAACCCAAACTCAAGTGGGAATGCGAGGCCTCAGTCCGGAGGCCAGTTTCAAGGTGGGAACAATGGTGGAGGAAATGGAGGAAATACCAAGAGCTCGAATGTAAGGTCTGGACCCCCGCAAAGCAAAGTCTACGTCATGAGTTGAACGCAAGCCAAAGCCAATGAAGTGGATGCAGGTATCCTCCTAAGTTTGTGTCTCCTTCTTTAGTTAGGTAATCTAGATTTAGGGTAGGAAGGTGTTTAGCATTGGTTAGAACTAGGATCTAGAATTTTGATTAGAAACCTTCATCATCATATCGTTTGCATGTCATATCTACCTTGATTCATATTCCTAAAACCAAATTCAAATCAACTTCGTCCCATTCAACCTTTTTAGCTTCAAGGACGAAACTCTTTTTAAGGGGGGAGAGTGTGACACACTGACACCCCGTATTAAAATATTTTATGACTAGTATATTTGAGATTATTTTCATAAAGGATTTATTATTTCTAGCAAGCCCAATTTCTTAAAATAAATACTCCGGTAATCCCTAGTCTATATGTGGTGAGATGTCGTATGCTCCCAAATTAGAACCTTACAAACGTAGTAGCGGGAGTAAGGGTCGGTCCCACGAGGAGTAACTAGTTTAACGTATTTGCTCAAATTAAAGGAAATGGGGGTTTGGTATGAAAGTGTTATTTCAAAGTAAATAAACGAATAAAACAGTGAAAATAATATATTGAAAGCACTTATAATAGAAAATCTTGGTTAGTAAAGATCCACCACCGGAGTTTAACACTGATCATTGATTCAAAAAGATAATTGATATGCAACTGAATATTTGTCGTGAAATTATTTCATTTCTGTTTTCCCTTAGTTGTAGATAACTAAAGCACACGCGGTTTAATTACCCCTAACTACTAAATAATCTAAGACAAGCGCTATAGATTTAATTTAATAGCAGCAATAGGAACTAGGAAAACCGACAAACTAAATAACACAAGCACAAGCGGTTGCATTTAATTTAGAAAAATATTATACACGAGACCAATTATCACTAAGCCGTCAATAATTAACCTCAGTTGCTACTGAATATTAGAATAATTTGTAGCACAACATTATCTAATATAGCAAATAATTATATCAAATAAATAAATAACTAGTAGGCCTCCTAGCAATTAAATGATATGACTATTCAAATAATTTTGAAGAATATTTAATACTCAAATGCATAAAAACATATATAATAAAAATAAATAAATAATCTTACCGCATAATCAATCCCGGGGCTTTAATTCACTAAACCAAGCTAACGAAATTAGCAATTAATGGACATTGATAACAACTTTAAAGAATAATCGAGAGGGGAAGAATGAACGATGAACAAATAAAATGTTTTAATATTTATACATATCTCTAACTATTATTCACCACCCATTTTCCTACTATTGCGCCAAAGTGATGAAGTCTTCCGCTATTTTGTACTGATACCCGTCGGAATAGGATGCAATTGACGAAATTTTCTTCGCTGCTTTCGTTCATCCTGTACGAATTAAAGAAGAAAGAAACAAGGTTTTATTTGTTTTTTTTTGTCATTTTCTATGATTTGAGCGGTGGGTCATCATGTCATAGAATAATAATAATAATAATAATAATAATAATAATAATAATAATAATAATAATAATAATAATAATAATAATAATAATAATAATAATAATAATAATATTATTATTATTATTATTATTATTATTATTATTATTATTATTATTAGGGAGAGAAGGATAATTAGTAATTTAAAACACTAATTAATTAATTAATTAAACTCTAAAACTAGATAATTATTATATAATAGTAAATAATTAATGTAAAAATATTATAAAAATGTACCTAAAATATGGGTGTAAAATATGCCTATCAATATCTACTATACTAATAAGAGTCCAAGAGAGTTAGGCCTATAATGGGTAGAAAAAATGGCGGTTAAATTTTTTAATCAAATGAATGGCTCAGATTTATCAGATTTTAATTGTTCCTTAAGATTTCTTAATTTTAATTGCTACAACAAAAAATAATACATATGCATTCTTTAATTTAGAATTATGTGTCTATAATGTCTTTATTCAAAAAAAAATTATTCATTATCTATAAATTAAATAACAGAAATAATTTCATTAGTTATATTGTATTTATTTTTCTCAAATATAAAAATTCTTTACATTCAAATTCATCAATTGGTTATATTCGCTACATTGTCCCTACAATGCTTTATTTAAAAAAAATTATTCATTATCAATAAATTAATTAAGAGAAATAATTTTATTAGTTATATTGTCTTTATATTTCTCCAATGTAAAAATTCTTCACATTTAAATTCATCAATTGATTATATTCATTACATTGTCTATTATCTTTTTTGTGCACTATTTTTTTAATTAAAGATCAAAGTTATAATACAAAATAATGTTATATATTTATTTACCAAGTATTTTATTAATACCATGAAAAAATTAAAAAAATATAATTAATAAAGCCAAACATATTAACTACTTTGAGGGATTTGTTGACAAAGAGAATATTCAAATCACACACCAAATTGAAGTGAGAACTACCTCGCAATGTCCTTGTTTGACAATCAGCAGTTAGCGATTAGCGTTAGCGGATTATATTAGCGAATTTGACCAGCGAATTACATCAATGGTTGGTAAAAATATATTTGAAAAAATTAGTTATTTAGATTAACATGTAAAATGAGCTAAGGGTATACATATAATAATAATAATAATAATAATAATAATAATAATAATAATAATAATAATAATAATAATAATAATAATAATAATAATAATAATAATAATAATAATAATAATAATAATAATTGTTTTAAAAAATAAAAAATAAAAAAATATAATTAAGTCAATCATATTAACTACTTGGGGGATTTATTGACAACAAGAGTATTCAAATCACACAACAAATTGAAGTGGGAAACTATCTCGCAATGTCCTTGTTTGACAATCATCAATTAGCTCTTCAATATTAGTATATATTTAATATTTTATGCACTAATTTTTATTTGCTCTCCCTTATGTCCCATATTTGGTTTCAACCATACCTATACAATTATTTTATTGATAATTATAATCAATCTTGACT